GCTTTTTTGGTGACATAATGAGAAACTCTACAGGAGTGCTTACTGCATGAGATCATGTAGTGCTTTTGTAAAAAAGATTTATTTATTTGAGAGACAGTGAGCGTGCTTGTGCACGTGCGCAAGAGTGGAGGGGAGGGGGGGAGAGAGAGAGAGAGAGAGAGAGAATCTCAAGCGGACTCCACCCTGAGCACAGAGCGCCACACAGGGCTCGATTCCACAACCCTGAGATAACGATCTGAGCCGAATCTGATGCTTAACTGTGCCACCCAGGTGCCCCCATGTCGTGTTTTGATTGTCTTTTCTTCCACCTAAAATCATCACACATAACACAGATGGGATGTATTCCACATTTGGGAAATACCACTCTGATCCACCCCCCTCAAAAAAAAAAAAAAAAAAACCTGCAAGGGAGAATGAGGTCCACTTTTATAGATGAGGAATCGAATTTGAGTCTGCAAAGTGAAGAGATTTGCCTCGGACTGCACAGGTTTACCACCTGTGCCAATCTCAAAGGGAAGCCAAATCTCAACCTAGACTGCTGAGCTCCAAAAACACTTCCACTCAGCCATGATGTTAAATTAAGAGGGACACATCCACAGGGTCCATCGTATGGAGCACTCTAGGCATGTCTGAAAGGATTCTGGGGTTGGAAAAAGCCTGAGGAGGTAGACAGGAGTGCTTCAGAATGCTAGAATTGCACGTCAGAATGAACTGGTTTCCAGAAACCAACAAAGCTCGATATCCACAAAACATCAGGGAAGGAGGACTCGCCTCCGCATGGCCCTCTGCACTAGGCTTCCTGTTACCACCATGGTTCTCTGATCCCAAGACTTCAGGCTCCTCCCCAGAGCACCCCTAACATCAGAGGCTTGCCTTGGGAAGACACACCTGTTTGTGTTGAGAGAGAACACAGGACTGAGTTCTGAGAACTCTGCTCCCGCACACAGTCCTTGTGGGGCCTTGGGGAACGTGTGTCCGTAGTTACAAGTTCCCTCGTCTTTCAGAATTACTTTCATAATCAGGTTCAAGCATGCGTGGCCAGTCCATGCTCAAAAAATGATCTTTTTATGTTTATTATTCCTTGCATCATTCATTCTCCTCTGGCTGAGTTAGGCACTAATTCCACTTAGCATCCCTTCCAGAGATCTTCCCTGGGCACGTGGATGAGATTTTCATTCCTTTTTATGCCTGAGTACTATTCTGTTTATATATGGATCACGTTTTGTTTATCCACCCACCTGTCGGTGGTCACCTGGCTTGTTTCCACCTTTTGAAGGTTCCTGATCTTCCTCACGTCAGTGAGATTAACCTTTTCCTTAAAAAAAAAAAAAAAAAAAAAAAGATTTTTTATTTGTCAGAGTGTGTGAGCACAAGCAGGGGGGAGATGCAGGCAGAGGGAGAAGCAGACTCCCCGCTGAGCAGGGAGCCCAATGCTGGACTCGATCCCAGGACCCTGGGATCATGACCTGAGCGGAAGGCAGACGCTTAAATGACTGAGCCGCCCAGGCGCCCCAGATTAACCTTTTCTTTTTCGTGTTTGTCTTTGAGAGATAGTGAGTCTCTCCTAGTGGATTTCCTGTTCCCCCCTAAGCAACGAGGCCTCTGAGCAGCGTCCTGCTGAAGACCAAGATGAGATCCCATGAGATGTGCTGGGGCCTGTGAGCGGGAGATAAGTCCCATTTGACCTGAGGGTGTGTCCCACTGCTATCTCCCAAGCTCTGCAAAGCCCTCAAGCCCCTTCGAGCTACCAGAGCACAGGCCACTGAAGGAGTTCGACCCATGTTTCTAAAAGATTTTTTTTCCCCCATGTGGACCAGTTTTGTGTCTTAGCAGGGAAAAGGGGACGTCACCAGGTCTTTGTGCTAAAACTGCCTCCCTACCACCACAGTTCTCTGATCCCAAGAGGTCAGGCTGCCCCACAGAGTGTTCCTTATATCACCTCCTACATCCCTCACAACACCTCCCTCAAAGGCCTTGGGACAGGAGTGTCTGGGGGAGTGCAGGAGAGGGCTGATGAAGGAGGGGCTTGGGGTTGCAAAAGCTCTGAATTTTCATAGGCCCCAGAATGCCCCGTGAGCCAAGAGAGTGCCCACACAGACTTCTCAGTCCTGATCACAAGCCCCTCATGAGGTGTTCCATGCTATCGAGAATTTATTTTCAGACTCCCACTTTCTCTGGGCATCTCACATAGTCCAGAGACTTTCTGAGTCCCTAGACTTTACAGGCTCTTGCAGGGAAGTCCTTGAGCTCTTGCCCTTCACTTTGCTCTTCACCGCAACACGAGGCTGCTATTCACGGATGGTCTCTCACCTGCTATGCAGAGAGAAGTGACTCCTACTTCCCACTCAACGTGGTCGGTCAAGAGGGGACAGGCTCTGTGCTGCGGGTTCCTCTTCCTCTTTGCCAAGCACAGCAGGATGAACAAAGATCTGGGCTCCCAGGGCTTTGGTGCTCAGAGACCAGGCTCGGTCCAGAGTTCAGGTCATGCTGCTTCCCGGGCAGGGGGACTTCTAATGCATTCAGGTGTCCACAGACGTGTGCTCTGACCACCTTTTTCCTTTTTCCATTCTCTGTGGATTCACTGACTGTGAGAGTTTTCAATACCTTAAACACATCCATTGTGCTCCCTATTTTATTGTGGTAAAATATATGTAAATAACATTTATCCTCTTAACTCTATCTAGTACAGTGGCATTTAAATGCATTCACAATGATGTGCAGCCTTCACCCAAAACTTTTTCATCATCCCCAATACAAACCCTGTACTCATTAATCACTAAACATTTTTCCTCTCTTTCTCCCCAGCCCCCTGATAACCTCTGTTCTATGTTCTGTCTGCATGAATTTGCCTATTCTAGGTACTTCGTGTAAGTGGAATCATACAATATTTGTCCTTCTGTGTTTGGTTAATTTCACACACAATAATGTCCACTCGCGCTATAGCATCTGTCAGAATTCCATTCCTTTTTTTTTTTTTAAGGTTTTATTTATTTATTTGACAGACAGAGACACAGTGAGAGAGGGAACACAAGCAGGGGGAGTGGGAGAGGGAGAAGCAGGCTTCCTGCTGAGCAGGGAGCCCGATGCGGGGCTCGATCCCAGGACCCTGGGATCATGACCTGAGCCGAAGGCAGACGCTTAACGACTGAGCCACCCAGGCGCCCCTCCATTCCTTTTTATGGAATAATAGTATTCCCCTGTCTACAGAGACCACATACCTGGTCTCTATCCATGTATCCTCTGGTGGACGCTTGGGTCTTTTCACCTTTTGGCTATTTATCACTTTTCTTTTCCAAAACATGGAGTGTAGTATTTTTGATTGGCCTATGCAATTTTAGCACAAGGGCCTGGTAACTTCCCCCCTTTTCACTACTAAGACACAAAACTGTTTCACACAGGCAAAAAAAAAAAAAAGAGTAAATTTCTTAGAAACACAGATCCAATCAGTCTGTGGAATTAGAGCAATCTCTCTCTTCCAATAAATTCTGTAAACGGGCTTGATGTTATTTTTAAAGAGATCTTAGAACTCAGGCAAGCTGTAACCACCACATTTGGGTAATAATGGCAGGATGTCTGTGTCGGTCAGAGATGCACATAACCACTATCATCACTTGCAAGTTTCTTTCTATGCCACCAGATTTCGAAAGCTATGCTACAGTCTTAAGAAATGTTTTTCTAGGTTTGGTTACTCAGCTGAATACTTGTATCACCCAGGAGATTTCAAAAGTTTGGTGCCTGAGCCCTATCCCAAGTGATTGTGATTCAAGGTTTTTGTGGTTTGGTCTGTGCCCTGGGATCTTTAACTGCCCCCGCCCCTAGGAAAGTGCAATGTGAAGCCAAGGCTGAGAACTGAGTTGGGGTACCCTACAGATGGACCCATGTGTGGGACAGGGGAGGAGGTAGGTTTTCCCCTTTCTGGGATATCCATGTGGATTCTTTGAGGCTTGTTTTAGAGGACCAAGCAGTAACCTCTGTCCTAGTTGGAACACCAAAAGATGAAAAGACATTATGGCAAAGATGGGATCAGAAAGTCATCAGATTAAAGGCTGAGGATGACTTAACTAGCCTCGTCCAGGGAGAGAGCTCGCTCCATCTTTGAGCCAATCCTGACTCACAAGTGGACGTGGGTGACCTGGTGAGGTCTGGAAATGGAGCTGGCCTGGTGGGAGGAAGACGGGGAAGTCAGGGTGAGGTTGCATCTTTTCTCATCCTTATAAAAGCTGAGCTGTGATTACGCGGGGCATCTCGTCAGCCGGTCAGTGTGCATTTGTTGAGGTCCTACTGTGCGCCAGGACCTGCACAGACAGTGGGGGTGCTGAGATGAAGAACGAAGTCTCTGCCTTTGACTGCTCACAGGTAGTGACATCCTGTGTCTCCCACGGTATGAGGTCCATAGCTTCTGAGCTCTCTTAGTTACAAACTAAGGGTATCTCTCTTAGTTTATGTCACTCAAAGCACCAAGCAGCCTTCAGCAGGAGGGTTCTTCTGCCACAGGGGAGACTGTCAGCAGACCCTCGGGTCCACCCAGGGTCTCAAATAACTTCAGAGGTGGGCTAGGGTCACATTTAAGTCCTGTGCTCCCGCAACATCTTGCTCATGGTTCCTGCCCCCAGGGTGAGGCGGGGGGTCCACAGACGGTAACGTCAGCTTGACAGAAGCTGAGAAGAGAGGGGCTTGTGGACATTGGGGAACCAGGACAGGTCCTGGGGCCGTGGGAGGAGCGCGCCGCACAGGAGACCTTCTGGGAGAGTGGGGAAGGAGCCGAGAACACAGCTGCAGCCACAGTCCAGTGTGGGGAAATGAGAAGCCCCAGATGCATGACCTCCGGGGTCCATGCTCAGCAGCAGACCCCGGGGAGGCCCCTCAGGACGGGGCTCCAGGTGGATGCTCATGTCACGTGGACGGTTCTCTCGCAGGGCTGTGTGCCGGCCAAGGAGGCAGGACAACTGATGGTGAGTTCCTTCAGTCGGACCCTCCCTCCCCTTCACTCCAAAGTCCCCATGTCCCTTCTCTTTCCTTCGAGGGGTTTCCTGACAGCAGACGAAGGCACCAAATCCCGTCCCCAAATCTGCTTCCTTCCAGAGTCCCTTCCCAAGCCCTCCCTCAGGGCCTGGCCCAGCTCGGTGGTGCCTCCCAAGAGTACTGTGACACTGCAGTGCCAAACGTCTACCAAGAATGTCAACTTTGTTCTCAGGAAGGGAAAAGTTGTATTGCAGTCCGTGCAATCACAGGCTTCCACAGAGGGCCTGGCTGAATTTCACCTCACTGACCTAAAAACCGACAATGCTGGAGAGTACACCTGTGAGTACTACAGACTAGGGAGCCCGGACGTAAGTTCGCAGCCCAGTGATGTCCTCCTACTGCTGGTGACAGGTGAGGAGGCGCCTCGGAGGGACACGGGGTCTTGCAGGGACAGGTGTGGGGGAGGAACCCGAGGGAGGGAGGGAGGGAATGAGGGGAGATGGAGAAACACAGAACAGAATGACCTGGCTCAGCTTCATCCAGGGCTTGCTGGGGAAATCTTCCCACAGTCAGAGTGGAAAGAGGGTGAGACCAGGGATCTGTCATTTTCGCCCACTTGGCGGGAACCCCTGCCAGGAGAACAAGGGAGGGTGGGGGACCCCGGGCTTCTCCCCATGACCTTGGAGCCCTCCTTCTCTTCCAGGAGATTTAACAAAACCTTCCCTCCAAGCCCACCCAAGGGGGGAGGTGACCGCAGGAGACACTGTGACCCTGCAGTGCCAGAGGCCGGACAATATTTTCGTGCCTGTAATGTTCGCTCTACTGAAGGCGGGGGCAGCAGAGCCCATACGGGTCCAGAGTCCTGCAGGGAAGGAGACGGACTTCTCCCTCCGGACTGTGACAGTCAGTGATGCCGGGAACTACAGCTGTGTGTACTTTCTGATGAGGGCTCCCTTCCTGACCTCACAGCCTAGTGATCGTCTTGAGATCCGGGTGACAGGTGAAGTTTTGCATGATTCTTAGGACGTTTTAAAAATTTAATTAATTTATTAATTAGTTTTTATTTTGGCTACTTATTTTCTTTCTCCTGTTTTGTTGACCTATAACTGACTTATAACACCATATTAGTTTAAGGTGTGAGTTGGCCTTTTTTTTTTTTTTAACTGGAGAGCATTTCTTCTGTTACTTTCTGATTCCTGTTTCTCCTTCACTTTCCCGAGCATCTCCTTTTTAAATCTCTCCTTCCCTAGTTTCTAGTCTTTGGCGTTTGTTGCTTTGCATTCTTGGAGAATGTCTCAGGCTGTTCTTCCAAACGATCCATCCCGCCACCACCAGAGCCCCTTCTGCCACCCTGGGCGTCACTTAGAGTTGTGGGACATCCTGCTGATGGCAACTTCATGGCGGTACCTTTCTCACTCTTAGAACACGGTGCTCCCCCAGACGCCCACTTTTCTGGCATAGATGTGGTATCTTCTAAACTGATCTTCTTGCTTCATTGGATGCTACACCCTGCTTCCTCGGAGGTGTAAATGTTTGCGTGTGTGCTGTGGTCAGCGAACGTTCTGTAGTTGGAAAGCAAGGTCCGGGCGGGCAGTGCTGAGGGATGCAGAGGGCATCCTGGGCTTGGTGGGGTCATCACGGGTCTCTCCCCATGGACTCTGTCTCCAGGGAGCATTGTTGCTGATGTCTTCAGACATGAACTCTGCACTCATGGCACGTGTGAGCTGGAAGATTCAAGTGCAGGTTCTGTCTAGGAGCCAGGGCCAATGGTGAGCCCTGACTCTTCTTGGGTGAAGCTGAAATGAAATGCATGGTGGTTCCGATGCTCAGCGACTAAGCTTGAATTTTCTTGAGCTCGCTGGCTGCACTAAGTCTTTGCTCTGAGGAGGGGAGCAGACGGAGCCCTGGACTACTTTCATTCTCCGTGCAGCACCTTTGGGTTTTGGGGTTACTCCTACGCCTGATTCCTACTACAAGGAAGGAGAAGGGGGAAAGGGCAGTGTGGGAGGGTGGAAATGAGATGAAGAGCGAAGAAATGAGGGAAGAGCAGTAAAAGGCAGAAAGAATAGAAAGGAGACAAAGGAAGACCCACCGCAACCCTCAGGAAATCCCACGTTGTGTTTTGAGTGATTACAACGTCAGCGAAGGTACAGCTGACCACTGGCCAGGAAGCACAGGCAGGTGCAGGAGAGTCACATTGGGCAGATCCGCGTGAGAAGGGCGGATGCTCCTTTCCAGCTGGTGCTCACCCTCTTCTCTCTCTCAGCTCCCCCAGGTGCCACGTCGGGGGATTACACCACGGGCAACCTCATCCGACTGGGTCTGGCTGCCATGATTGTGCTGATCATGGGGGCTCTCGTGGTGGAAGCCTGGTGCAGCCAGAAGGCGTCTCCACGTGGATCGACATGAAACAGCTGAGCGCCTCTCTTGTTCATGGGCTGGTGTAGTGACACGGGGTTCTCTAAACACCAAACTCTACCATGGGACTTCTTGTGTTTCTCAACATGCGCACAGATGGCTTTTTGGTGGGATATTTCTTCACCATATGGGACTGTCCTGTTTACTGTGGGAACATTTAGCACTGTTCCTCTTTCCCATTAAAGAGCAGTTGAAGCCCCAGTCATTGTGGAAGAAGATAACAAGCAAGTACTACTGTACTTTTTCCAGCACCCCTAGATATGGAGGATGGGAGTGGGGTGGTGTTGCCTTGGTGGAGAGCCCGTGTTAGGAGGGCAGGGAAATAATATTCTTCATCTTCCTCCCTCTCCTGACCTCAGGTCTGTACTACCCACATGCCCCTGGCTGCCCAGGGAAGGATGAATGTCGGTGGAGAGCCCTGCTGCTTCTTAACAGTCCCATGGAACCTGCATTCTTAGCTCTATGAAGAACCACTTGAGGACAAGAGATGGCTTCTCTCCTGCTGTACCTTCACCTGGGGCAGAGGACAGGCTGGAGAATAAAGACACACCTAATAAATTTGGACGACTTGAAAAAATACTTGAAGCTTCAGAGTCAGGCGGTGTAACCTGTGTAGTAACTTCTGTAGGAACTGTTGTTCCATTGAAAAGTGGGGAAAACATTGCTTCCTGCATATTTATTATTGACTTCTCTCCATTCTCTATTTTGTGCTTCTGGACCAGCAATTAGTCAAGTATTTAAATTTCTGTATTTATCACACATGTCTTAAATTTTATTTCACATAGTCCCAACATTTTACCTAATTTGGGGAGACTTCCTCTCAGTTTCACAGCATCAAGTTGCTCCTGAGGTGTACCCAACGGGTCTTCATCTTCTGGTGCAGGTGTAAAGTGTTATCCTCAATATTTTCATTTTCAAGATCTGTTGTTGTTTGTTAATAATCCTGTTCTTTTCCACAAATACTCATTCTTATTCTAGAACTGTTATCTCCTCTCTTATAACCCGGGAAATACACTTACAAAAACCCAGTTCTGATCAGAGTAGAGTAGTAATGAGTAGTAAAACTCATGGTTCCTCCTGACAACAGACCCCTTTCATTGCTACTTGGTCAAGAGTGGTCAAAATGGACAGAACTCTGGACTTATGGGTGGCACATCAGACAGACACCAGCTGCTCAGTCTATAACCACTTCTTGCTGCAGTATCTGCCTTGGCCATGTATGGAAGAGCCTTCATGATGTTCCTGCTCCCTAATGTGTGACTGCCCATGTCTACTTTAGACTGTGTTTCCTCTTCAATCAGATCCTACTTTTATTCTGAAATCATTCGATTCACAGGAAGTTGCAAACTCAATACAGATACTTGCACCCTGCATCCAGTTTCTCCAATGGTTCCACTGTATGTCCATCACAATATCAAAACCAAAAAGTTGACCCTAGTACAGTGTGTAGGGTTCTATATCGTTTTATCACATTTAGATTCATCTGGCCACTGGTATAATCAACATACTGGTGTAGTCTATCACCATTAAGATGTTCCTCACGGTGTGTCTTACTGTCACACCCAACCTCTCTCCCCAACACCACTGCAACCACTGGCTTGTTCTCCATCTTTAAAATTCTGTCATTTTCTGAATGTTTTATGTCATATTATTTTCATTTCCTGAATGTAGGTGTGACACAAAACCTGTGGGTCATGTGAGAGGAAGGAAGGGAAAGGCTGGAGGAAAGAGGTCACCGCCCACACTGAGCTTCCCTCCATCCCATGGTTGCAAAGCTGAAGAGGGAACCTTAGAGCAGGCTGCAGGGCCAGTATGACCCTGGAACTCCTTTCCTTCCTCTGCTTTGGTAAGTTCCTTAGGATGGTGTGCTGGGGTTCAAGATGAGGGTGGACTGACAGATTGAGAGATATGAAGAATACAAAAGAAATAACGTCAATTTGTATTTACTGATTGCTTCACACACATCAGGACCCATGCTGGAGGCTTTACATCCATCCACCACTCAAGTTTTTGCCAATACTCAAATATGTACATTCACATTTGTGATGGTATGCTATGCCTACACCACCTTTACTTAATAATTTACTGACAGTGAGTCAATATTTTTCTTTAAATAAAGGTATTTATTTGAAAATGGAAACTACTTAGCAATAGTTTAATAATGTAGTGTCACCTACCTGATAAAGGAGAATTAATACAAATATATAATACTATGGAAAGGCAGAAAATGTTAGGACATTTTAGCCTTATGCTCTTTTCAGGTTTCTGAGCCCATGGCTGAACACTTCCTAGCTATAAAGGGCGATGAGCCAGAGATAAAGTTGTTCTAAAGTATGCCATAAATGATCTCTCCTTGATGTAATCAGAAGGGTTTGATTGAAAGGGTAGTAACTTTTTGATGCTGTGATCAAAGCTATAGGATACTGTGTCACTGTGTTGCCTAAAATCGTCTCCTTGAGCACCTGTGGTTCATATTCCAACCTGTGGGAAATACCACTCTGACCCTTGCAAACAGTCCTGCATGGTGGGAATTGGGCCCACAGGGTTAAATGAGTACCCTGAGACTGACAGCTGAGGGTTCCTGCTCAGGGCCACACAGAGAATGAGCAGAATAGTCAAAATGCAAGCCCAGCCTGTCTGCCTCCAAAGTCATGACTGTTTCCACTGGGTTCTAACAGGAAACTAAAATGGATACAAGTATGGCATCTCCAAAACAGAAATGTCCTTGGGGTGATTGAACAGATGCTGAGTAGGGGAAATTCTAAAGCATAAAAGAGGAGCCGCTCATCATGGCAAGTGAAAGACCAGCCACAAAAGACCACATTCTACATGATTCCATTCATATGACAGTCCAGAATAGGGAAACCCACAGAGAAAGTAGGTTAGTGGTTGTTTAGGGCTGGAGATGGTGGAGGTGGGGAAATGCAACAAAAGTTGAAGAGTAATGGGGTGTCATTTTGAAGTCATGAAAGTATTTTAAATTTGACTGTGTGAAGTTTGCACATATCTGTGAATATAGGAAAGCCAATGAATTGTACATAGTAAATAGGTGAACTATATGGCAGGCATGTGAATTACATCTTGATAAAGTTGTTTAAAATTTCCTGGGTGTGGAATGCGGTACAGCTCAGGATGTTTATTTGCAGGTGCCAAAAACCCTAGTTTCCTCAGACAAGGACAGTGTGTGGTTTTCAGCTTGTTTTTGGGCACCATGACTAGATCTGAATTCTTTTTTTTTTTTTTAAGATTTTATTTATTTATTTGTCAGAGAGAGAGACAGAGCACAAGCGGGGGGAGAGGCAGAGGCAGAGGGAGAGGCAGGCTCCCCGCTGAGCAAGGAGCCCAATGCAGGACTCGATCCCAGGACCCTGGGATCATGACCTGAGCCGAAGGCAGTTGCTTAACCAACTGAGCCACCCAGACGCCCCAGTTCTAGATCTTTTAAATTTCCATATACATTTTAGAATCAACTTGTCAATTTCTACCAAAGGCTACTGGGATCCTGATTGGCCTTGTGTTTATATATCAACTCAGAGAGAATAGCTATCTTAATAATATTGAGTGTTCTGATCCAGGGGCACAGTTTATATCTTTATTAAGACTTAACTCATTTCTCTCATCAGTGTTTTGCCTTTTTCAACATACAGGACTGACATATGTCAACTAAATTTTATCCTTAGGTTTTTCATGTTCATTTACATGATGTAAATGATACTGCCTCCCGAATTATCACTTGCAGTGGTTCCCTGCATGTGCATATAAGTACAGTTATTTTTTTGTTACTGAGACATCCTGCTACCTTGCCAAGCTCAAACATTATTTAACTTTTTGTAGATTCCTTAGAAATTTTTACATAGTCCATCATATTCTCTGTGACTAGAGACAGTTTTACTTCTTCCACTTCTAATCTGTATACTATTTTTTTTTTGGCCTAATTTCTCTAGATAGAATATTCAGAATGCTGTTGAGGAAATTAGTGATCTTGCCTTCTACATGATCTTACAGTGAAAGCATTCAGTTGTTCACCATTAAATATGCTATTACTCATAGGTTTTTCACAGATGTCCTTTATACATCGAAGGAAGTTCCCTTCTATGTTCCTGGTTTGCTGAAACCTCACACCTTATAAAAAAAATGAAATCAAAATGGATTAAAGATTTGAATTTAAGATGTAATATTAGAAAACCTTTGAAAGAGGGGTGCCTGGGTGGCTCATTTGTTAAGCGCCTGCCTTCGGCTCAGGTCATGATCCCAGCATCATGGGATGGGAAGGACAGCCTGCTTCTCCCTCTCTAGCTCCCCCCTGCTTGTTTCCTCTCTCGCTGTCTCTGTCAAATAAATAAAATCTTAAAAAAAAAAAAAAAAAAACCTTTGAAAGCAAACATAGCAGAAAATCATCAGGATCAAGGCCTTGGTGAAGTTATTAGACATAACACCAAAGCATGACCCATTACAGAAAAATGCATTAAGTTAGATTTAATCAAAATTAAGAGCTACCACTCTGCAGAAGACTCAAAAGGGGATCAGAAGACAAGCTACAGTCTGGGAGAAAATATTTGCAAATCCTGTATTTGACAAAGGCCTTCTATCTAGAATAAAATCAAGAACTCTCAAATATCCACAATAAGGAATTTTTTTTTAATTGGGGAGTTGGTTAATGGAGACAGAGTTTCAGTTCTGCAAGAAGAGAGCCCTGGAGGTAGATGGTGGTGGTGGTTGCACAACAGTGTGAACGTACTTAATACCACTGAACTGTACACTTCCAAATGGTCAAGGTACTAAATTTTACATTATGTGTGCTTTACCACAATAAAAATATTGGAAAAAAATTAGAGAACGGCAAGGCGCCTGGCTGGCTCAGCTGGTAAAGCACGGGATTCCTTTTTTTTCCCCAAACTTTTATTTAAATTCTAGTTAGTTGACATATAGTGTAATATTGGTTTCAGGAGAATTCAGTGATTCAACACTTACATACAA